TTTTTTTTTTTTTTTTTTTTTTTTTTTTTTTTTTTTTTTTTTTTCAGTCGAACGCTGATAAATGTTGTCCGTCAGGCGTTTCGTTGCTACTGCGAGGTATAAGTTTTCTTTTTTATTTTTCAACTACATTCTTAATCAAGAAGAATCAATTGATGGGAATTTTGACGATTACGATTTTGTATTTCACAAAGAAAAAAAAAAAATCACACAGTTGCTCTGCTAAAAAATTACACTCTAATCCCCTTATCCACAATAATATACTGCCTTGGGCTCCATTCAAAAACGTGATGTACCTAACTCGATTGTCAAAGATATAATTGAACACAAGTACTGTATCAAGAGCACATATTTACTTAAGCTAAGCCCCTACGATCGACATGGTGCATGTATCAGAAAATGCAGAATTTTTTGACGGACAAGCACATCAGAGAGAGAGAGAGAGAGAGAGAGAGAGAGAGAGAGAGAGAGGTCAGGTTGACGTAACGTTATGCCGATTTTTGGGTGCATTGCACATTACCTTTGAATGAAAGTCCAAGTGACAGAATCACTGCAGAAATCACGTGGTACTGAGAAAGCAAGCGCCCCGAGCTAACATAAAATTATACTTGGTGGTGGATTATTTTTAAAGCTGCGTTAACGATTATAGGGAGGACATGCCGTGACCTTTCTTTCGACAGTTTGCCAAGTGTAATTTTAGTTTCTGCATGAATTTGTTGAACGATGGATATAAATTTACGTCAAAGTACCTGATTAACTAAAGGAATCGACGTTAAACTTTGAATCATACAGAGAGTAAATATCACTGCAAGATAATGGTGATGCCGAATCGAGTTGATTGCTGCAAGGTCACGCATGTCTTTCCGACGGCAAACACAAGTGTTATCCACATTTGGCAATTCAATTACTGCTTGTGTAACCGTAACAAATTTACCGATTTATTAATTATATTGTGTACGAGATCTGTGGCCCCATATGATTTTCGAGGCGATAAAAAGGCGCGTCGCATCCACAGCTCCGTCACCTCGATACTTTGACAGACACGGGGCTCCGTTTAACGACGTACCTATTTCTCATCGGCTGGCAATCACTGCCGCTATTAAAAGAGAAAGGGACCCTTTTTCTCGGCGCGTCGATTTGATCGTTTGGTTTTACGACCCCGAACCCAATCACCCCCACTGGACATAAAATCTTTCACGCGTATTGGCCGCGACTCTCCTCGCGTCACTTGGACCCGATCAGCGCAAGTATTGACCAAAGTATACATGACACCCCGATTATTTCCCGGTTTAGTATCTCACCAACGACCGTGGAAATGCCAACTCGCACCCCCCTACCCGCGAGATCGAAAACACACACGGAATATACATTAATATTTAAAAACGCATCCACATACATTGACTTTGGCACGTTCGCGTGAACATATCGCTTATATAAATGTATGCAACCCGGCTCTAATTGGACGTGCCACTTGCACACACACTTGTTTTTTTTTTTTTTTTTTTTTTCATTGCGCTAGAGAGAGAAATCAAGTTCACCACGATCGTGGGGCGGAAATTTAATTCATATATGTATTCAGCAGCGTCGTATACATTTCGTCGGATTAACTGGTTGCTCTCGCACTTTACGGTGCTTTGGGATGCAGGTGCCACGTGTGCGCTTAAATACATGTAGATACAACGGGGGGCGCGGTGTGTAAAAGGGGTAGGAAAGCGTCGAGACGTTTCGTGTTACGCTGTGCGATAAAAATGGTAATTTTTGTGAGAAAAGAATATGATGTTCGTTCTACTTACGGCGCATTATCGGAACGGGCTAATCCGCAATATGAACCGTACGAGTAGGCGCTCGGGTATTGATTCATGTATGACATCCTCGGCGAAGCACAGGTATGTATATATATACTGGGGGGCGCTACTACACGTCAATTAACCGTGAGACCATACGTGGAGATAGTATATCTTGAGCGACAAAACATCCGAGCACTTTTATCGCGCGTACGACGACGGCCGAGACAATAGTTTGTTCAAGACTATTTACCTCATAAAGTGGCCGGCGGCCCTCTGGTGCAGGTCCAGCTCAATCGTGCTGCCGTTAATCCCCGACTATTATATATCTTCCTCGACGAGGTGCGCGCGGCGCTTCGACCCTCTCGCCCTTGTGTATATAACGTACACGAAAGGGGGGGTGGGAGGAAGCCAACAACTCCGGGCTCGCCGCGTCCACAAGTACAACCCCCGAAATATCTCTCTACGCACGGGCGCTGATTTTTTCCTCCTCCAGCATGTTCATCGGTGATCACGAGCCTTCGGTTATCTCCTTCCTCCTCCTCGTCTTTGCACTCGACTTGGGTGTTATTCCTCCTGCTGCTGTTGTTACTTCACACATAATATATATTCACACGTAACGTCAACCACGCGTGAGGCTGTCGGTTGCAACGGCAAAATGTGACAGGTATACGTATTATACGAGAACAACGAGAGGAGGGAAAAAAAGCAACGAAAAAAAAAAGAAAACTAAGAAGAAGAAACAAAAGTAAAGGAGGTGGAGATGCGTCGCGAGGTTACGGGTGTAATTGTTCGAAGGGTTGTTACGAGGGGCGAGAGAGAGGTATAGCTCCTCGCCGCGCGACCGGTATTTCATGAATGCGGCTCGAGGATGGACCGCGCAGCTACTCCCCGGCGCAAAGGACCGGCTCCGTCCCTCTCTCCGCCGGTGTACCCGCGCTGCTGGTGGGAGAACCGTTATACCAATGCCGGTGTAGGTAGGGCGGGCCGAGGCCGGCCGGCTGCTTGTATTCGTCGAGGCGAGATGGGCGGAGCTCGGAGGGTCTCTTGCGCGCGTGTGTCTCTGTGTGTGTGTATACATACTCGGGTCGCGAGGAGGAACTATGTATATGCTTTGGTTGATGCGCGGGCACTTGTGTCGTATACACCGGTGAGAATGGTTTCGGTAAATAAGGGGAAATTTAATTGTACGGTTAAGATCGCGCTCGGCAGCTCGCGGTTGATGCTGATTATGGTGAAACGGATATAGTACCCACCTGGGCAAACGATGTTTTGTAGCCTGTAGCGTGAAAAAAAAAAAAAAAAAAAAAAAAAGGGAAACTTTGACATGGGGTGTTTGTGTATACGTAGTGGGGCTCCTTATTTCCAAACGATTTTGTATCTTCACTGTTGGGAATAATTAAAAAAAGAAAAGAATCTTGAATTAATTGCTGATAGTGGGTTTCAAGGCTTCATAAAGTTTAAGCAAACGTTTTGTCAAAAGAGCCCTTGTCGCTTGTCCGGGGGAAAGGGTGTGTTTTAAAGGGATTTAATCTTATATATAAAGTCCTGGATGGAAACAGAGCGAAAGTCCTTAAAAGCTCGGAGCCAAGTTAATTTCCAAAGTGCAGAAGTAAGACGCGAGGCGATCAATCGCAGGGCCCTTTGCAAAGATCATTACATGGCTGTACTGGGCGTTTGACGGCACTTGCACCCTCACTGCAGCTAGCCAGGATGGAGCCATTGTAAAACTTTGCTCGCGCACAGCCATCACGTATAAGGAGGAAAAAAAAAAAAAAAAAAGGAAAACGGGAGCAAGAAAAAGACGGAGCAAGTTGGTAGTTGTAGGGGGGTGGGGGTGAAGAAAGGATCGGGTAGAATGGAGGAAGAAAGGCGCACGCGAGCACTGTTCGCCGTTAATAGAAAAGGAGTCTTGGGAGGGGGAGAAAAGAAGGAGGGTGGCTTATCCGCGAGGAAGAATGGGAGGTATAAGAAAGTGACTTGCGCACCGAGTCCTCCCTCACCGCGCGCAGTCCGCCATTTTTCCCTCTTCCCGTGGGCGCGTAGTGCGCTCGTTTCTTCGGGCCCCTCCTCTCTTGTAATGCACGTCTTGCCTTTCCCACCCACTGCCACACTACTACCACTATTACGACCATTGTGCCTATTCTTCGGGGTACACGCGAGAGACTTTTATGTGTGAGAGGGTGAGCTATAGTTTGCTGCTCGGCCATTGTGACTCGGCGAGCCTCCGAGGAGGAGGAGGGGGGGGGGCGAGAAAATGGGAGGGAAGGATGCAAAGTGCAGCAAAAAAAAGGGAATGGGAGGAGGAGGAGGACGTGTTCGAGAGGGAAGTTTTTCGGAGGCCATGAATAGGAGTGGCGCTCGGGGTGTGTGTGTGTGCATAAGACGGGCGGGAGGAGAGGGATCGGAATGCTGAATTATTGTGTGCTCGGATTCACCGGTGGGGAATGGCTTTGTGTTTACAGTGATCGGTTCTTAACTGTTGGTCAACTAGTGTATGCAGGCACATTATTACGCTGCATATCAATTGAAATATACGGATTTCGGGTGTCTTTTTGTGAGTACAGTGGGCTTTTGTGCGTTTTCACAATACCTTTTTTTTTTATGTTTCGTGACGATATTTATTACAATTATTTGATGTTTCACGAGGGGCTGTGAAGTCTCCAAAGACTACAAAGGCCTCGAAGAGACTTTCAAGTCATTTAGAGTCACAAAATATCTCCAAGTGTCACTGAAAACTAATGAATAACTTTGAAAGTCCTGTGAATAGGTTTTAAGGTCATCCAAGACTTTTGATGCTTACAAAGTCTTTCAGACACCGTAAAAAATCTCTGTAGTTTTTAGAGTTTTTACAAAAGGAGATTGAGCACAATTTATTCTCACGCTTATACCGTTTGGTATAAAATTACTGTTATATTAATAGCTGATGAAAGAAGCCATAAATCGGATAAATATTCACTGCGCGCAAAAACCCTAATCTGGTCCTGCCCGGATGCTGCTCGTCGGTGCGTGTGCCGTTGTTAATTCAACCCTCGGGTCATCCTTGCCCGCAATTACCAACAATGGCATGGTCGCGAGGAAAAAAAAGTCACACAGAGATCCTTCAACATTATACTTTTAAATTTCCTAAATCGTAAGAGGTTTGCCGAAAAAAAGCCCTCTGCTCTCAGGACCATGTACTGCTGCGTGGTAACGAGAAAAAGGAGAAACAAAAAAAAAACAAGGGCTTCGCAGGAGGCCATTAAACAACAATCCAGGGCGTTTTAAAAACGCATCGACAAGCATAATCCACTCTAATCATCACCGTCGTATAATATATAACTTACACACATGCACGCCCAATTGCACCCAGAGTCTCCGTAATACTCGTACGCGTACTTGAAAAAGCCGCAATCGCGTATAGGTATATAATACACACGTTCGCTCCCTCACGCGATGCACGTATATATATATGTATACACGCAGAGCCTCGATTCCACGCACTCGTGTCCGGATTTCGATTTAACCGCGCGAGCGAGTTTTCGGGGGCAGAGAGAGAGAATAACGCCCCACACAAGCGGGTAGTAATACCTACTCCCCGGCGTTGGTAGTAGTTGTCGAGCGACTTACACCTAACGCGTTACATTCAATAATGCGCGCGCGCGCGTACACAACATATACACGTATTGTGTCGAAGGGTATAGACTACGTGAACATTGTACCAGGGGTAGGGGGGGCGAAGCTCCGTGTGTGCTGTGCGGCGGGCGACTGTTTTAACGGGAGGGTGGCTTCCCCCCACGTGTCCCCCTATGGAAACAAAAACATATTGTCGAAATTTAATTGTGAAGAGATCGAGGGGAGAGTAAGGCGCGGGCATTAGATATTCATAGGCTACAAGTTTGGTGCTGAGCGATGCTGACGGGGTGCGGGTATATATGTATATGTATATACGTGGCTTGTAGGCCAGATGGAGATAAGCTCCCGCTCTCATTTTGCACCTTGTACATTTATTACACAGCAGAGCGTGCTTGTACTGCTTACGCATCCAAAAAAGCACGAGCACTCGAGCCGAGGCTAATTTATATTTTCATTGGCCCTTTGTTTTTGGTCTTTTCGTTGATTTTAATTGAAAATTTGCCCAAAGGACTGAAATTAGTAGCGACAAAGCCAGGGAGGGTTTACGCAACCCGTGATGAAGTTAAACCTTGATTATGTGCGCGCACACTCGGGCAGCAAAGGAGGAAGCCGATCAAGGCCTCGGTAACGATTCCACGAACGTTTTTCCCGGCTCGTGTGCGTGTCGTCGTGGTGACGGGGCACCAAGGAGGTCTTCATCTCCTCCAGTTCCAATTTAGCTAAGTGCCTCGGTCGCGCGGGGCGGCCTTTTCGCGCTTTATCGCTCGATCGACCCCTTTTATGCGCGTACGTCGGAACTTGCGTAATTTCGACCGAGGTTTGGTTTCCCCTTTTGACTACTGCTTTCTTTTCGATCAACTATACGTTGCAGCGCTAACTCACGGAAGTGAGATGAATAAAAAAAAAAAAAAAAAAGTAAAGAAAAAAAGTTCCAACCGAAGCTTGCCTTCTTTTTCTTCTCTAATGAAATCATTAGCCGACCGACAAAACGCGACGCAGCTAGCATGAATAAGCGTGGAGGCTCCCTCCCTCCGTGTTTCGTGACTCCTATCGAGCATCTAGGCGCGATTCAAGCAAGTGTGTGTATGTACGTACGCGAATCGACGCGAATCGACGCGAAGCTCACCCCCCCTCTACGTACGTATACGCAACTTGTGTTTATGTAACGCGTGCATGCAAACATGCGCGAGAACGAAACAATGGGGAGCTTTTTCAAAAAGATAAATCTCGCCTCCCCGGCGTTGATTCCGCTTCTTTGTTCGCTGCCTTCACCCCCCTCCCCACCCCACCCCTCGCTCGACTTTTATCCGGTGTGCATAGTCCGTGTTTCTGCCTCTTTTCAATGGCTCGCGCAAGACGTGGAATCGCGATGGGGGTAGATTAGACTCGGGAACTTTGCACAATGCCTAAGCAAAAATGAGTGATTAAACAATGTTTATTTTAGGATTGATTTCGTTTAACTTGGCGAGGTTTTACTGCGGTTAAGTGTAGTGCCAATTTTTTTTTTTTTTTTTCGTAATAGTAGAGTCTCGTTCGTCCGAGTCACAGCTTTTTTTTTGTGTAGAATCGTTGTTGATTGGTCCTTCCATTTTTGTTATATTTCGATGGTATACGATTGGGAGTTTACATTGTATGCTGTACATAAATTGAGAAATAAGACTTCAAGGTTGTCCAGAAACTCCACGTTTCTTTTATTTCTCTAAAGTATTTATGTCTCAAATACATTTCTGATAAGCTAGAATTTAACTAAATTCCTTGTTATTGTACACGTGGCTCTGTTTATTTACATGTATCTTAATTACTAGTATGTTGTATCAGTGTTCATATATTATGTGCCTGTACTCTTTTTGGCTCAGCAGTGAACATTTTTATAAGCTCACTTCAATGGTCTTCTGATTTCAAAATTTGAGTCTGCGGCTGTATATTTTTATTTTTTGGCATTCATTACTCTGATTGTTTCTAATTTTTAGTGTTTTAACCAATAAGGCTTGATAACAGTGTCTTTGTGTTTCTATCCCTCCATTTCTACAGTGCCTCAATATTATTATTTTTATTACTATTATTCATTGGAATTGCAATGGAAAAATTCATTGGGTTCTTACGTTGTCCATGTCCAAAAAAAACTTTATTTGACTCAATACTACAGCACGGAAGTAAGTCTCGTTTAGAAAAACACAGATTTAAAAGAAATGTATTTGGAAGAAATACAAAAGTAAGTCCACAAATTCAAATTCAATTCAATTGTTTCCAACTGCTCTTCAACTTCCG